AATAGCTAATTAAAATAAAATCAACCCTCACCTTGCAAACATCTTCCGCCACGGCGCCACCAAATCTTCGAATCAATGTCATGAAAAATAAATCTCTTTGCTCCTGTACCATCTTCCTCGTTCCACTTGTGGAATTCAAGTTAATTATTGTTGGTTGTTTGTCTTAGCTATCTTTTCCCAACAATTTGGGAGGGTAAAACTCATTCTCTATCCTCAATCCCCTGTTTCTGAACAGAGAACACTCGCAGAATTAAAGTGGACTTCAAACACAGAGTATCAACCCACAACGATGATGGGGTATTCCTCCTCTACCTTGCAATCCTCCCATCTGAAAGCAAATTTAACTCTCAATTGAGGAATTTTGGATTGGCTAGCTCGATGCATTACGATAAGTCTTGTTTCTACATCGACGGCAGGGTATTTGCGTCGTTGGCTCATAATGTAACCACGAGTTTCTTCTCCAGATAAGAAAGCGAAGGAGAATGGGTCAAAAGCAGCAGCATCGGCGACGTCCGGGAACTCATGAGTTTCTCGTCGGCGGCGTCGTTTTGGTCGTGGGCGGAGCTTTTAACGGCCAACGCCGGGACTTTGGGAGGGGCATGGAGGTGGGTAGGGTTCAGATTGAGATTTCGAGAGGGGAAAGGGTGGCCATTCGGAGAGAGGGTGGGAATTGAATTGGTAGACTACGTCGACGGTAGCGGTGGAACTTGGAACAGGAGTCACCCCTCTTCCTCCGCTGCGGTGCACTCAAGAATTCCTCCCCGCCGCAACCTGTCTCCTCGCTGGTCTCCAATGGAAGGAGGCTTTTTTTTATTGAACCAAAACGCAGAACCTCATCAAAGAGGCAGGGGTTGGAAAGACATTTATACCCTTCCGTGAAGCTCTCAGGAGTCAGGATGCAGCATTTTTGAACCCTGCAATTTGGAGTCATGAATATGCTTCATAAGTTTTATAGATAGAGAAGCCAAAAGAAGGGCCAATAAAAGTTGTTAGAGCCCAATTCCGTCAAAGATGACATTTTATCATAATATTTTCTACATAGAACATTTATGAATCAAATCTCTCCAAGACGCATCAAGTTTGTGGCAATCGAACAACTAACGAAAAAGTTATCATCGATCAAACCTTGACACAAAATGTCTTGTCAATTAGAAACTTAATATTATTTACAATATATTTGTCATCAGAAATTCTTGATTTTGAACCACAAAGTGCATTGCATTAGGTTTATGTAAATGATGCACAACTTTAATCAAGAGTCGAAATTTCTTACCCCTTAATGCTTTCAAGTTAAGGATGATGATCTCAATGTTCGAACTCTCAAATTGTTATTCGTTCAAGATAGTGCCAACATTGATACAGAAGTATAGCTTCGTAAACAAAACACCAGAATCATGGTCATCTTTCACTTTAAGTTCAACCTGAAGGCGAATTTTAGATCGGACCAATAAGTATGCATCGACTTCACATACTTAATCTGGTATTTTGTAGGCCATACTGTATAAGTTAAAGATGAAGAAAGAGTAGCAGGCTTTAACGTTGCCTTAAATTGCATTGACAAATCTGAAATTCGGATAAGGAAAGAAGAAAGTATAGTTTGGTAATACCTTAATGGGATCAGCTACATTCAAAGCTTCAATCAACTATATATAGCTTGGTACTAAGAAACTCTGATAAACTTCACCAACTCTGTGAGCAACACCATTATGCTGCTGCAAATTCCTCCCCAAACTTATATAAATGAATGATTAATTATGTTTAGATGACGACCGAGAATAGACATAAGTGATTCAGATAACAATCATACAAATCAAGGATAGGATGAGATCTACAGAGTGAAGACTCCTATACACTGTCAAAGCGCATAAGCTCGCAAAGTAGTATTTCCCTGCCCATGAATCAAAGTAGTGAACGAAATATGATTAGACTAATTCTTCCTTGATGCTTCCAATGTAATTAGTAACTGTATGGGTTGCGAGCGCCACTAAACTATTCAATAATGAAAGAGAAAACTACTTATCAACCCAAGAAACGAAAAATTACAAACAGAGCGAATAACATATGGAACAAATCAAATCACATAAGGCTAGGTGTGGATGAAACTAAAATGAAAATTAGAGATTATGGTGAAGTGAATGAACCTGACAAATATTGATAAATTTCATAGGCTATTTGGAAGTGAGAAGGTTTGAAGAATCTTAATCTGGTTATTGGAATGTCAGATGCATCTCTCAAGGGCTCGACCCTTGGATTTGGGTTGAACATCATGTGTAGGGTGGAAATAGCGACTCTCTTGTGTACTGCAGCACCATGAACTTCAATATTGAATAGGGCGTATATCCTCCGCTCTTGATATATCACTTGGCATATGGAAGAGGAACATAACTATCCAATTAACTATTCCGGGGCCAATCAATTGGACGTGAACATTTATCGAGCAATATGATCAAAGTTTCACCAACTAAAAGAGGGCCAGGAGAGGTAATTGCCCCCTCATTGCTGCACTTGCTGCTTTCAACTCTTCTACGTTGGTGAGAAATTGAAGCTAGAAAGGGGACAATGCAGAGCCAAGGATTAATTAAGCAAATGCCGAAGATATCCTAATGGCCGGCAAATATGGCCGCCGGCAACTCTGGACAAACAACTTGAAGCCTGACGCGTTGTAGTGCTGGAGATTGAAAGCCTGGGGAGTCAACAACGGGAGCTGTCGAGTTTGGGTATTCTAATTTCTGACTTGTCGAATTATGCCGCCGACAACCTTAGCTGGAGAACATGCTAGGCCTGCGAGGATAGGCCGCCCCTTCCACTAATGAAATGTACCCGTGTTGATAGGCCAAGTAAGTCAGCCTAGGCCTGCTGTAAGGATTGGTCCATTTGAGGCCCAAGCCATCTATCATAGTTAGTAAAATACGGTACGGGAAAGTTACGGATATAATACGTACGGGTATTTTACTTCATCTCTAAGCTAATGTTACGTTTAATAGTACGTTAATAGTCATAAATATATAAAATAAATTATTTTTTTAAAATAAATAAATATATAAATAATAGTAAAGTTAACAATTTAATTCATTAAATACGGATATAAAACGTGTTATACGGATTTTATACGTGTTTAGTACGGGAGCCACCAAATGAACGGACAAAAATGAAACGGATTGAAAAAAATACGGATACAGAAGTTTTAAACGGATAAAGTACGTACGGGTACATATACGTGTATTAAACGGAGTATTTACTAACTATGCCATCTATTGTCCTCCACTGAGTTTACTGACAGCAATGGAAATTGGCCGCAAGAGAAAAATATTGGAACAAACACGGTTAGACGATGAAGCTAGGAGGGAGCTGAGCGAGCGGTGCGAAGTTTAGTGGGGTGAGAGGAGGGAAGGATGGGTCGGGTTGCAACTGTAGTGTTGGGTCGTTTTGGTGGGTTGAGATTGGGAAAAGAAGATGATGGCCTAGGAGCTAGTGGCGTGGGTGGGGCTAGAAGTTGTGGGCAGTGGCAATAATAGTGGGGAAGAGATGCAGGGGTGGGGATTGGGGGGATGGGCTCGTGGGTGAGAGGGAGGCTGGGGTGATGATGGTGGGCCGGGCCCAGTGAAGGACGGAGGTAAGGGTAGAGAAATGGGTGGGTTCGGGTTGTCCCGTGAGGTAGGGAGAATAGAAGTTTTTTTTTATAGCAGGGAGAATAGAAGTTGAAACGCAGCACTTCATTAAAGTCAGTGTGAAAAGTCGAAAAAAACCTTCCGTGAAGCTCTCAGGAAGCTGCTTTTTTGAATCCCTACAATTTTGAGTCATGAATATGACTCATATATTTTAGGGTTAATAGCATTTTCTACCCCTTTACTATCGTAAATTAACAAACGTACCCCTCTACTAAATATTTGCACAAACATACCCCTCTAATATTAAAATGTAACGAATATACCCTTCCGTCTAATTTTCTGTTAAATGGCTGTTAAATGGGTTGTAAAATGACTAAAATACCCCTCAATTACCCTTAATTCATTTTGACATTTTTTATGATACCTAATTAATTAAACCTTACCTAAGCCGTCATCTCTAAGCCATGCTCCATCCTTTCGTCTGCCCCGACTCCGAGAAGAATCCCCCAGCGCTCCCTCAGCGGCGGTTACGGCTGACTCTTCAACGCCAGCGACTGGAGCAGGCAGGGGCGAGACGACGACAGGTGGACAGGGGGGATTCCGACATGACCAATATATGCAATTGTATTGAATTCATTATCCCAATCCCACGAAAATTCAATCAAATATGGATGGAAAGTGGGTAGAGAAAAAACTCATGTCTTTTTTGTTTTGTCCAGTAGCCTAAAAGGATGGAGTTTGTGGAGGCAAAAGAGAGGTGAGAGAGTTGTGATTGAGCCCTGCCGCTTTGCCCTGACTGGGAACAGCAGCATCGTCACCGCCGCCGCTGGCATCGGGGCATCGGGCTGCATTCGTTGGTGACGACTTAGGGTTAGGTTTTAATTAATTGGGGGTGATAAAAAAAATTGTTAAAATATATTAGGGGTAATTGAGGGGTATTTTAGTCATTTTACAACCCATTTAACAGCCATTTAACAGAAAATTAGACGGAAGGGTATATTTGTTACGTTTTAACATTATAGGGGTATGTTTGAGCAAAAATTTAGTAGAGGGGTACGTTTGTTAATTTGCGATAGTAAAGGGGTAGAAAATGCTATTAACCCTATATTTTATAGATGGATTACCTCTTTCAAACTTCCGCCACAATTGAAATCCAACCTAATCACCACCACTCCTTAGACCGACCACAATTTACGAATACATTCTCCGATTCGTTAAGCAACCTCTTCCTTTTCCCCCCTTTTCTTTCCATGACCAAAAGGACGAGTAGAGAATAAGAAAAAGCCAAAAAAAAAAAAGAGTTATTATCTACAAAAACTGAAAAATTAAACTAACATGCAGCAACTAAACCTAATCAGACCTTTTCCCCCCCTGCTTTAATTATTTCCTAACTCACGCCGCCGACGGAGGAGCGCGGCCGCCGCTACTCATCATCTTCTTGAACTCCTCGAAGTTGACGCTGCCGTCGCCGTCCTGGTCCACCTGGCGGATCATCTTCTTGCAATCGCCCAAGCTCGACTTCAGCCCCAGCATCTTCATCACCGCGTGGAGCTCCCCCGCCGAGATCAGCCCGTTCTTGTCCATGTCGTACAGATCGAACGCGTCCTTCAGCTCCTTCCAGCTCCCTCCACCGCCGCCGCGGTCGTCGAATCCGCCGCTCTGGATGAATCCGACGAACTCGTCCAGGTCAATGTAGCCGTCGCCGTCCTTGTCGAACTCCTTGATCATGCACTCGACCTCCGCGGCGGTGACGGCGGTGCCCAGCTCCTTCAGGCTGTCGACGACCTCCGAGCACGAGATCTTCCCGTCGCCGTTCTTGTCGAACTTGTCGAAGATCTGCCGGATCTCGTCCGTGGATCCGTTGATCGGAGAAGACGCCATCGCTGAGAAAAGAGGAGGGGGGAATGCAATTTATCTTCTGTGAAGAAAAGCAACAGAGAGAGAGAGAGGAGGCGGGGTTTAAATGGAGGCGGATAACGCGGTTTCCCAGAATACGCGTGATTCTTAATAATGGTTGGGTGGGTGCGTGGCCACGGTAATACCGTGTGGGATATTGGAGTCGCTGTTAAAGAGGAGTGGTGGAGGGGAGATGGAGGGCGAATGATTGGTTGACACGTGGTATTATTCTTTTCGGCTGGCTGGGCTGGCTGCCTTGTGAGTTGGGGAAAAGTGGTGTACTAAAAGGTGCAGTAGTAGAAGTAGGAGTGCTGGCATTGCAAGTTAAACTGCTGCTTTTTCGGTTTTTCCTAGTCTTTTCCTTTTAAATTTTTTTCAATTGCTTGCTTGCCCAGGGGGAATGGCTTTATGTGTTGACGTGTGGAGGAGGAAACGTACAGTTTGTTCTTCCAAAATAAATTGCGACTTTTTTGAGTTGTTAATTGGAAAAAAAATTGTATCAGGTAAACGTCAGCATAAAATGTTTTTTTTATTTATGGTGTAACAACATTGGAAACTATCAAGCTGATGAAGAGAAGATGCCTTGTGATACAGGCAACTGTGGTGTTAATAATCCTAATTCTCATGAGTTCGAACTGATAATCCCTAACAACCAAGGTGATGTGATGCGATGATTGGTCGATTGACGATTGGTGCTTTAATTATGATGCTTTGAGCAATATCTTGCAGATAAGAAGAGTATAGCTCATGGCATAGACAAGTCGCAAGTATTTAGTACCATTTAAGCAAATCCTATTTGATTTCTCAAACATTGTCGAGTTACAAAGATAGTTATTAAATTATTAGCGTCGCAAATTAACATTTTTTCTAGAGTAAGTTGTGTAAACTTTGTTGTCGCCATTTTGCGAGGGACTGGAATAGAATGGACTAGTCCAGCCTACAACTAAAAGTGGCACGGATGCTAGAAATTGCACAAGGGAGAATAATCTTGCTTGGCTTATGTTGAAGCCAACTCCTTTGCTCTCGTTTGCCTATTCGTGACGGATGGGCACGCTCAAGATCTTCCTTTTGCCATTCCTACGCACAAAAGTGCACAAGACCTCTTTAGTTCGTTAGTCCTCTAACGAACAATTCAGAAATTGCTTTTTTAGAGAGATAAGTAGTTTAATCTGTTTTTTCTAGAGAGAGAATTATCCCCTTAAATATTCGTACTTGTCTCCTATTTATATCTGAGGTAGTTCCGACGTTCCAGTTATAACATTTAATGCACTGTCTTCTCCAACTGGCGTGCGCCTTGACTGACATCTCCCCACATACACTGAAAAGGGGTGTCTGCACTAACCTGTCAGTTTTTTGTACTAATTTGGTCGGACGCCTATTTTGTCGTTATGTGCCTTTAACGAATGGCTTCTTTTCACGTGCAGCTCAAAATGAGTTAACATGGGTTTTGCTCAATTTGGGCTTGCTCCAATACTATTATCATGCTAAGTGGGTTTGACTAAGCTACTTCTAAACACCCCCAGCAGCTTCCAAAAAGCCCTGGGAGATGGGAATTGGACCTTTGATTGTTAGAGTCGGAGTGGAAGAAGATAGCGGACATGCTTAAGAAGAATGACGAATGCACAACTCAGATTGGGAGTGTGTGCATATTAAGGTTGTCCACGCCAGCGTTAACATGATTTAGTAAGTGATATGGTACGATCGGGATAAAATTGGTTTGTATTGGTTTTAATAGAACATGCAAGGAAAGTGGGAAACCGTTAATACAAAATGAATTTTGCATATATATTATCTATCTTAAGACAACATTTAATGTCACAATCCAAAGTATACTTAGTCCAGCAAATAACATTAGCATCTATTATAAATGTTCATACTTTAATCCACATAAATTTCTTTATTTTGTTGATTACCTCCACAAAAACGACATCTTTATTTTAGGATAAAAAATTGATGATTTCTGATTGACCATTTTCCTGATTTTGATCATCTTTACTGATTTTGACTACTGCTTCGTACTGTTTATCTTCCATCCTTTTTTGTTGAATACCGGTTGAAGTTGATTCTATAGATCGACATACCAATGAATTGAGTGTGGAACACAATAGGATGCAATCTGACGATTTCTTATTGAAAGCAGTAAAGCAAATATAAGTACGTTGTTGTGAACCACAAGACTCGGCCACTAACAACCACACTAACTTCCAGACTCCTAAACTTCAGCTGCCACTACCAACAGATTGAGCTGAAAACTCTCAACCATTCAAACAGAACACGCAGGACTTATTTGTAATGCACTAGACTTAAAGGACCAACTGGACACTTTGACAAACGACACCGTTCCTACTAATACGAAAGACTCTAATTCAAACACAACTTCTGGCGCCTTCAACCCAATCCTTGTGCAGCAAGGATTCCAGCTCTAGCAGTTCCAACAAATCCTCCCCTGAACTGAAGTATCTCCTACACCAAACTTCAGTTCACTTCAACCCTGCTCAATCCATCTTGCCTATCACTTCAGAAACATCACAAACCCCCAGTCTGCTCCTCAGTCTCAGAAACGACTCCAACTTTAGTGCTTTTGTCATGATATCAGCAACTTGATCTTGAGTCCCACAGTACTTCAACTCAACAACTCCATCCTTTGCTAGATCCCTGAGGAAATGGAACCTCACATCTATGTGTTTGCTTCGTCCATGGAAAAACTGGATTCTTGGACAGTTTGATTGTTGAACTGTTATCACAAAGGATAACAGTTCCATTACTCACACTCTTCTTCCAGCCAATTTCCTCTAGGATTCTTCTAAGCCATACACCCTGAGCTGCACAATAAGAGGCAGCAATGAATTCTGCTTCAGTTGTAGATAGAGTGACTACTGGTTGCTTCTTGGAGGCCCAAGACACAGCACCTCCTGCCAGGAAGAAAATATAGCCACTAGTGCTTCTTCTATCATCGAGATCACCAGCATAATCACTATCAGTGAAGCCAAGTAAACTCTCTTCCTCAGTTCCTCTTTGATACAGAATGCCATGGCTCAGTGTACCCTTTAGATACCTTAGAATCCTCTTGCCAGCCAACATATGCTGCCTGGTTGGTGCCCCCATGTACCTGCTCAGCAAACATACACCAAACATTAGATCAGGTCTAGTTGCTGTGATATACAGGAGGCTCCCAATCAATTTCTTAAATTCTCCAGCATCTGCAGGGCAACCATCTCCAGCCTTTGTTAGCTTTGTACCAGGCACAATTGGGTTGTGAGTAAAATTGCACTCCTGCAGCTTGAATCTTTCCAGAACTTCCTTTGCATATTTCTGCTGACATATAAAAATTCCAGCCTCATTTTGAATCACCTCCACTCCCAGAAAGTATCTCATCTTACCCAAATCAGTCATTTCAAACTCAGCCTCCATTGACTGTTTGAAGTCTTTAATCATCTCATTGCTGGTGCTCATGTACATAAGATCATCCACATACAGACTCACAATCAACAGATCAGATCCAACCCTCTTGATGAACAAGGTTGCTTCACTTGGACATCTTTCAAAACCTTGACTGAGGAACCATGTCTCAATTCTACTGTACCAGGCCCTAGGAGCCTGTTTCAAGCCATATAGAGCCTTCTTCAGTTTGTAGACTTTATTTTCCTCCCCAGCAACCACAAATCCTTGTGGTTGCTCAACATAGACATCTTCTGTAAGCTCACCATTCAGGAAAGCACTTTTCACATCTAATTGCCAGATTGTTAAACCATGATGAGCAGCAAAAGCAAACAAGGTTCTGATGGTGTCCCACCTGGCTACTGGAGCAAACACTTCAGTGAAGTCAATTCCTGGTCTCTGTGCATAGCCTTTGACCACCAACCTGGATTTATGCTTGTCAAGATCTCCAGTCTCCTTGACCTTTGTCTTATAAACCCACTTCACTCCAATAGGAATTACTCCCTCAGGGCAGTCTGTCAACTCCCAGGTATCATTCCTTTCAATTGCTTGCATCTCCAGCTTCATTGAATCATCCCAGATATCAATACCAGCAGCTTCCTCATAGCTTTGAGGATCATCAGTAGTAGCTATCATGACTGGCCAGTCTGTGATCAGAGATTCCACCTGTCTGCAGTCATATATAGCCAGATGACTAGGTGGTTTCCTGGTTCTGGGACCAAGATCTGAACTTGGAGGGAGTCCCAGCACATCAGTACCAGTATCTTCCTCTTCTTCCTCAGTAGCATTCACCCCAGAATTTTGTGGTGGAGTAGATGGATTTGTAGGTTCCTCTTCCTCATCAGTATCTTCTACCACACTTGGCCCCTCTTCTCCATCAGAATCACTCCAGTCTTCTTCACTTCCTTCCCACAGCAGTCTGATGAGAGCAGGAGTAATGTCTGACTTCCAATTCCAACCCTTACTCTCATCAAAAACAACATCTCGACTGATGATTATCTTCCTGGTCTGAGTGTTGTAGAGTTTATAAGCTTTAGATTCTGTAGAGATACCCAGAAATTGACACTGTATACTTTTGTCATCAAGTTTCTTCCTTTGCTGATCTGGAATGTGTGCATATGCAACACAGCCAAACACTCTGAAATGAGCAACAGATGGTGGAGAGCCAGTCCATAGTTCTTGTGATGTTTTACCCTTATTGGCCACAGTTGGACTTCTGTTGAGCACATGAGTGGTCCAATTTACAGCCTCAGGCCAAAACACAGCAGGAACCTTTGTGTCTTTCAACATACACCTGACCATATTCATTGTAGTTCTATTTTTTCTCTCAGCTACCCCATTCTGTTGTGGAGTCAGAGCTGCTGTCAACTGCCTCTTTATTCCAGCTTCCTCACACAAATCCTTAAACTCTTGCAGAAGGAATTCCCCCCCTCTATCAGTTCTAAGACACAGAATTGATGCTCCAGTTTCATTCTCAACTTGAGCCTTGAACTTCTTAAACCATTCAAGAGTATCAGACTTGGCAGCCAAGAAGTAGACCCACAATT